GGTCATTATTCGTCTTTACACCCACGTGAAGAAAAATGACCCCCGTGGAATAATGCCCCCCTTCTCGATTAAAGGTAAAATTTTAGGGGGCCAAAAGAAAACAACAACAATAAATCAAGATATCTGTTGGCCAAAATGCTCACCTGAGCTAAATAAATGGGAATAAATCGATGATATATTGATCTCATAACATTATACAATTATTGCTGTTTTTAAGGTCAATGCGATGATTCAGAATCCAGAGGAGGTAAAGATTTATCGAGCCCAAAAGGCGAGGTGAACATTGTTTTTCGATGGTGGAAAATCATAGTACTGACAGAAAAAACAGCAATAATTGTTTTATTATATGATTCAACGATTAAATTACAGTAATACAAACTGATTAAGCAGACGTGTTAATCTTCTTGTTTACATTTGCTCAAGTCCTAGCCAAACACACCGAGAGAATCGGAGTTACATAATCAAAACGAGTATTAATTTGCATTTGAAATCTATTTTTGGTGCAATGTAAAAAAAAATATAATAATCGATAGGGGAAATGGGGCATTATAAGAGCCAAAAATGACAAGTTATCTTAGAAATATCCTTGACGAACCCCTCAAAATTATTGATGTAAGGGGGATTTCATTTTACTCTTCTGTATCAAATAGTTTGCAGGTACATGTATGTTAAGGCAGTACCCAGATAATATTTCGGGGAATTTAAGACTTTTTTCGTTTGTTTGTTTGTATGTTGTTTAACGTCCCTCTCGAGAATTTTTCGCTCATATGGAGACGCCACCATTTGCCGGTGGAGAGCTGCAAATTTTGTCCTATACTCGGCACTTACGGCCATTGAGCAGTGAGGGATCTTTTTCGTGCCAGCACCTACTGCGATACGGGACCTCGGTTTATACAGTCTCATCCGAAGGACCGGTCTCCACGTCTCACAGTGGGATTCGAACCCGCGACGTAAGGATCAACTCCTTACTTCGCGACTCTAGAGCGAACGCTCTAACCACTGCGCCACGCGGGCGACGACTTTTTTCGTAAAATGTTACAATGTTACATTGCCATAGATAAAACATTTACTATTACTAGTATAATCCATTGTATAGACGTCATTGAATCTTAGGCTAAAAGAAGTACTCCACTACATCATCACGTGGCGTCTATTAATAGAAAAAATGCCTTAATGAAAGTGAAAAGTTCAACACTACCCCGGGGATAATTCATTTCTTTTGTAAAAATAATTATGTAAAAACATCACTAGGCCATGAAAAGTGCTGCTAGAATCCTACTCTCCCGACACAGAAAAAAAATATTCCAAACTTTCACATGAAACCATTCCAAAATTTTTACATTTTGTACATACGATCAAGGAATTGTCATCCATTCATGTTAACCACGCGATTCTAGCAGCACTTTCCAAGTACTATAGAACAAAAGCTTTTGATTGAAACAAAAATTATGTTTTAAAGTATGCCGTGTAGTGTTAAACTTTTGCATCTTTGTTGTTAGAACGACAGCGGAAAGGCTGATCGAGATTTCAAAACATTGCTTGTGTTCATTATAAGAAAATATGATACGTGTGAGAATAAATCAGCGTATTTGGTTCTTAATCTTTAATTCCTTATGAATCACACATAACATTCACGGTATATGCTTTAAAATTCCTATTTCATATATTTGTTTACATGAATTCTCCTCACGTTTAATTTTCACTCGGCAAAAATTTGATCAGTAGTTATGACGTCATGGGTTTGGTATTAACCCCTGTGATAATTACTTAGCTATTTATACCACCCCAAAACGACAATATTTAGTTTATATTATGTTTTTGAAGGATTGCATTCATTTCTTGGACCTGAAATTAAACTTTAAATATAGATATTAAGAAATAAAATGTTTCCATATTGATTTGACAGATGTATCATTGTTTTAAGGTGGATTTTTAAAGAAAATTATTCCTCTTACATGATTGTGTATACCCTATTTTCAGACAACCATGTTAACAGAATTAAATTGTACATTGTACTGGGATTATTCTTTATTACTTCTATATATATTTGATAAAAATTGCCATAGACCACTGTTAATAAATAAAATCGAATGCACATTATACAATTGTATTTATTTCAGACATGCATAAATTTTATGTCCTTCTTTTAAAGTTTGCCACGTCTGCTTCATATTTGGACGTTCTACTGACTATAGACGATAAAGGCCAACATACAAATAAATTCTCTGACAAACGGGATGACGAAAGCTTTTTCCATCGTCAACTTTCCTTTATTTATGTAGTAATATTCCGCTATCATTTGTATATGATATTTACGTCTACCAAGTTATTCGATACCCAAGAACACGATTAATTTTTAAATCGAGGCAGACTTCTGACTGATACATGTTAGTTGATGTTACAGGGGTTTCAACAACCTCGTTTAAAGTCAGCGTTTTGTAAATTCAATGGTCGTATCAATGACCTTGTCAATAAATATAACCTATAATTGGGTCAATTGTTTGGCCTTTGTTTTTAAACTAAATTCGACAACGGAATGTCCCGTTTACCTGATTTATTCATAGGGCTCAAGGCGGATGTGACGGGTCAACAGAGGATGCTTACTCTTTCTAGGCACCTGATCCCACCTCTGCAATTTTCAGGGGTCCTTTTTTATGCCCTGTTAACAGAATTGTATATTTTGTGGATTGATTGATTGATTATATGTTGTTTTACGTCCCAATTTTTCACTCATATAGAGACGTCACCATATACCGGTGAAGGGCTTCAAATGTTGACCTTTACTCGGCACTCAGGGCCATTGAGCAGTGAGGGATCTTTATCGTGCCAACGCCTGCCGTGACACGGGGCCTCGGTTTTTAAGGTTTCATTCGAATGACCCGCAACTTTCACTTCAAAGTGCCGAGCGCATGGCGAAGGAACAGTTGCTATCCATTTTTTATCGACCTAGGTCAGTCGCGGCCGAGATTCGAACTCACGACCTTCCGATCACGGAGCGAGCGCTCTACCGACTGAGCTACCGTGAACGGTTATTGTTTGTGGATATTTTAAAATCATCCCTCTTCGTTATCTTCACCTTTTTTCAGTAGAAATTCATCCACAGTTTGTCGTTCACACGACATATTATGCCATTTGCGATACATTCTACCTCATTTGCACGACCTTTTATGTCATTCAAAAAAATGTATATAAATATTACATTGCATATCTTTTCCTATTTATTTCCGAAAAATTCTCTCATTCATTTTTTTTATTTACTTTTTTTTTTAAAAAGTTGATCATATTCAAAGCATGCTGATTACTTTGGGAGATATGCTTACCATTGAAAAGCCAACATCCCGCTTGTCTGTTATTTATGAAATGTCTATAATCAGTCAAATATCCAAATATGAAACAAATGGAAAATAGTCATAAAGAAAAAATTACGTTAAGAGTTATAACCAATAGTAGCCATTTTGCGATTTTCAATATATGCCAAGAACACAATAGAATTAAAAGATAGAAATAAACATGTAATTGTAATGCTGTTTTGTTGCACTTAAATTGCGCGTTCGTCCAGTGTTGATCAAAAAGGACATAACTAATTAAGAATTAAACATTGAGGTTCAAACCTTGGCATCAATCACCTGTTATAAATTTTGTATCACTATGTTGGAAAAGGGGTCATTTTTCAACGGGGGTCAATTTTTTATAGGACACATATAAAAAAAATGACCTCTAGGGCTCTTTTTCTACAAAAAAAGAAGAATTTTTTCTACGGCTGGAGGGTCATTTTTTGTCGTTGAAAGTGACCGTTCGGTCATTATTCTATGGGGGTCATTATTCGTCTTTACACCGGCCTCATCCGCTTTTGACGAGATCGAATAAACGAAATCAAAGTACTCAGAAGTACAAAGAGCTGGGCTTATTTATACAGCAGTGACCAGTACCGTTTTAAATGAAACATACATGAAATAACTGCTATATAAGAAGTTCAGAAATATTATTTTGACTTTGTGTCGCACGTGGCCTGTGTGTACATATGGCAGCAGAGGTTACGTTCACTCTCACACAGGTATTATCTTTCCTTAAAAAGCTTGTCTGACCCGAGAAAACTATGTTTCTGATATTTGAAAATTTGAAAAGTTTAACCCAGCGTCATCATCATGAATTATTTAAGAACGGGAACTGATCTAATTTGAAAAGCATAATGTTTATATTGGCGGTTGTTGGATTACCATCCGATGATTAGTCCGCGCAGATCGGCTTACGCTATGGAGTCCGGCTAAAAATCTGTAGACAATTCAGTGTGAAAATATTGCCCTAACATTTCGTATGAAGGACGTCAGTCAACATAAATGAAACCCATGGAAAAAAAACCCTCTTTTTTTGGATTTACAGTTAGTTACTCTAAGGCAATATTTAGTAACAATGTACAAATAAAGACATTTCGATCAAGGTAAACCATTGTAAATACAAATATCTATTGTAATCAGATGAAGTATACCTGTACATGTGATATCTACACCTATATTTATTCTCTGTCCAGAACAATGGGAAGTCATTTGATAACAACCTAAGCATAAATCCATATTTACGCAAGTGTCACGGTGTATTTTTGCAACACACTGAGAATTCATGCTTCGGAGCTAGACAAAATTAAAGGTAATTTATCGTATTTGTTTTAAAAATCAGGTAAATATATGAAAAAAGTAATAAGATTGAAATATGACATGATATCATTATTACATGTTAAATCATTCTTGTATACAGGAGAGATGGATAACCCTGAAGCTCAAGTTGCCGTGCACTGTGATCAGTGTGAAACCAAAAAAGTACAGAGTTGCTGTGACATTTGTTCTGTAAACCTCTGCAAAGCCTGTGTGGGGGAACACCTTTCTAATTTATCTACAAAACATAAAGTTGTTCCGTTTCAACAGCGTCAATATACATTTGATCAGTTGAAATCTCAAACTGAATAAGAAGAAGGTGAAAGTTATGTGTATATAAGGCATAAAGAAATGGAATCCGAACTGAGAGCATTTAATAAGAAGAAAGAAGAAATGAAAAGGGACTTAGAAGAATTAGAGAGTATTCTTTACCCACAGTACAAAGAAATGGAATTAGGATTATGTAAAGAAAAATCCAAGATAGACAGTGAATACGAGACATTAACAACAGCAGTATGCAAACAAGGAGAAATCTGGCACAAGGAAATCGAGTTGATTGTCAGCAAACACAAAAGTGAAATTGATGAGATGAAACACAAACATTTAGCGGTCTTGGAAAAACAGGAAGCCGAAATTACACGATTAATTAACGAGATGGAGCAAAGAATCCTGTATGTAAAAGAAATTCTTGATTCCAATAATATTGCAGTAACTACCTCATACAATTCCGTTAATGAGAGACTCAGAATATTACCTGTAAAAGCGAATTGCTCGTTACCAACGTTTACTCCTAATACTATAGATGAAGAGCACATTCATCTGATTCGTCAGTTTTTTGGTTTTCTAACATCACTCTCCATTACATTTGAAGAGGACAACGATATTAAGGCAACAGATGGGGCACACTCCAGATCTGATACCGTCTTGCTTGCAGAACCACAACTCATCGTGACTATCAACACAAAACTTACAAACCTTCACAGTATATCCTGTTTTAAAGATGAAAAAGTCTGGATAAGTGGAGAAGAAAACATCATAAAGCTTTATAATCTCAAGGATTCCTTGGTGAAAGTGATCCAAACCAGGTCAGGAAACGCACCTACTGATATAACTGTGACAAAAAATGGTAATTTGATCTATACTGACCGCGATTTTAAAGCAGTCTATAAAGTAATTAATGAGCAAATTAAAGAATTGATCAGATTCCGAGATTGGACACCTTACAACATCTGTATTTCCTCAAAGGGTGGCCTTCTGATCACAATGGGCAGAAACAAAAAACATTCAAAGATCGTGCGATGTAAAGCTTCGGTAGAAACACAGACAATTCAATATGATACAGACGGCAAACCGCTGTTTTCTGTAGACAGTTTTACAGTGTACAGTAAATACATATGTGAAAATAAGAACCTGGATATCTGTGTAGCTGACGGTAAAGCGCAGGCCATAGTGGTTGTCAACCAAGCTGGACTATTCCGATTCAGATACACTGGGCACCCCACAACTACTAAAAAGAAAAGATTCTGTCCCATTGGGATCACTTCAGATTCTCATAGTCATATTCTGACCACAGACGTGAATGAAAACCGCATCCACATCCTAGATCAGGACGGAAAATTCATTCGTTATATTGATAACTGCGGCCTTCTCTGTCCTTGGGGCTTATGTGTTGACATCAAGAACAATCTCTTTGTTGTTGAATGTCACAGCAGTAAAGTTAAGAAAATCAAATATTTAAATTGACATGATTTTTGCAACGCCTGAATTGTCCTATTCTCCAGAAGACACCAAATTTTAGTACATTGAGTTTCCCTATAAACCTAATCATATGCATTATAAACCTCTGGAACAGGTTAGATTAGCCATTTAATACAATTTTATGATTTCATAAACAATAATATATGTATCATTTTACTTGCGTATATGTTATGTTTTTCCTTGTTCGACAAGAAGCAAACAAAAAGTGTAATTTGAGTAGAAATTTTGAAACGTAATACATTTATTGTACAATATAAACGTAATTCTTATTCTTAAAACAGGTTTTTTTTTTGCTATCCAATATCACATCAGCAAAGTTAAGAAAATCAAATACTTTGATATGAAATATCAAAGTGTTAGTAACCTGTCACTGAATTAACACAGTCTATTTGTTATTTGAATGGAGGACGCCAAACTTGAACAATACTTTGAATTTTACACACTATTTTTTTTCTAATACAAATACATTTGGAATTTTTTCTTGTGATTATTTTCTCGTCGACAAGTTTAAACAATATAAGTACATTCATCATTATCGAAACGCTTTATCTGCCTTTCAAGAAATTAATTTTAATTATTTACATTTCTTATACAAATACATGGTGGGCGGGTGGGTGAGTTTGAATGTGTGCATGTAGCAGTATGTGTGTGAGGGTGTGTGTACGTGGGGGTGTTTGTGGGTGTGTGGCTGTGATATTAACAAAACCAATAACAGGTGTAACATCAATTAGAATTAATACATGATTTGCATGGGTATGCGAAATGTTTTTTTTCTATATACAGACAAGATGGATCTTTAATGTCAAAGTTCAGCCAAAATATTTTCTTATGTTTCGATGCACAATGGGAATTCTTACAAGTTCAATACTAGATTGCAATATGTCAGCTAGCGCTGCATGAAGAGACTGAACTTATTTTCAACTTAGGAGCAATAATTCAGAAATATTGTAAATCAAATTTAGAAATAAGAATTATTTCCGACCTTATTTTTACTCGTATACATTTTTGGCCATTAGCTATTTATTTACTTGTATTAAGGTGTCTTTTTGTCCTATAAATCGCAAAAATCAATAATTGCAGGTAAATTTTAAAGTGAAAAATCTATGTGGAACTACTCTTAGAGTGTAACCGCACTCTATTACTGATAATATATTTTGATTTAAAAAAAAATCTTAACAAAAGAATAATTTTCTTCAGTCACTAATTAGATATATATTTATTTGTTAGATGTCCCTACCTTGGCTTGAAATCAAAAAGTGGATCATGATCTATAATAAATGGAAGACTTCAACAAAGTAAATAATATGTATTTTTAACTTAATAGACTAGTACCAGGGACAGGTCGGCTCTGTTCGGGTAACTATCCACAGCAGTAGTTTTCTTCCTTCACTTTATACTGAAAGCTATGGCAACTGCACGAAGAGACTGAACTTATTTTTAACTAGGGAGCAATAATTCAGAAATATTGTAAATCAAGTTTAGAAATAAGAATTATTTCCGACCTTATTTTTACTCGTATACATTTTTGGCCATGAACTATTTATTTACTTGTATTAACGTGTCTTTTCTCCTAAATCGCAAAAATCAATAATTGCAGGTAAATTTCAAAGAGAAAAAATTATGTGGAACTACTCTTAGAGTGTAACAGCACTCTATTACTGATAATCTATTTTTATTTCAAAAAAAAAAAAAAAAAAAAAAAAAAAAAAAAAACTCTTAACAAAAGAATAATTTTCTTCAGTCACTGATTAGATTATATATTTATTTGTTAGATGTCCCTACCTTGGATTGAAATCAAAAAGTGGATCATGATCTATAATAAATGGAAGATTTCAACAAAGTAAATAATATGTATTTTTAACTTAATAGACTAGTACCAGGGACAGGTCGGCTCTGTTCGGGTAACTATCCACAGCAGTAGTTTTCTTCCTTCACTTTATACTGAAAGCTATGGCAACTGCACGAAGAGACTGAACTTATTTTTAACTAGGGAGCAATAATTCAGAAATATTGTAAATCAAGTTTAGAAATAAGAATTATTTCCGACCTTATTTTTACTCGTATACATTTTTGGCCATGAACTATTTATTTACTTGTATTAACGTGTCTTTTCTCCTAAATCGCAAAAATCAATAATTGCAGGTAAATTTCAAAGAGAAAAAATTATGTGGAACTACTCTTAGAGTGTAACAGCACTCTATTACTGATAATCTATTTTTATTTCAAAAAAAAAAAAAAAAAAAAAAAAAAAAAAAAAACTCTTAACAAAAGAATAATTTTCTTCAGTCACTGATTAGATTATATATTTATTTGTTAGATGTCCCTACCTTGGATTGAAATCAAAAAGTGGATCATGATCTATAATAAATGGAAGACTTCAAGAAAGTAAATAATATGTATTTTTAACTTAATAGACTAGTACCAGGGACAGGTCGGCTCTGTTCAGGTCACTATCCACAGCAGTAGCTTTCTCCCTTCACTTTATGCTGAGAGCTATGGTTAGTGACAGTGGACGACCACTCAGGAAAACAATAAAGCGAGAAAATTATCAAAGCAGTTTCAGCTCTTTTTCGGGCCATTGAATGATTGTCTTCTTACCTTTCCTAATCCTGAAACCCTTATTTACCCGTGATCTTACTTCTAATTAGGCTTCATCTCGGTTTGATCGGCTTACAGTATTGACAGAGAATCACAGCACATGGCCTTCAAATTATAAATATTTATTACAGAGGGCCTTAAATTTAAATTATAAGGGTTGTCAAGTCATTCCATGTTATCATGAACTTTTGAGTCATAGGAACGTTTGATTGAATAGAAAAAAAAACCATACACTAAGTTGGCGGTGAATTAAGAAGGAATAATTGTATTTATCTACATGTGATATCCCTCAACTACAAAGACAAGACTTTCTCCTGTTATGATACTTCCAGATGCTTTGAGCCACACTATTCTAACCATATATTGGAATGTCTCATCCTAGACAATTAATAGTTTGTCGATATCTGTGAATTTGGTCATCAATAATTGTCCTTTTGTTTGGAATGTTAAAGCTGCAAAGATAAGAAAATGTTTCATCTTATGTCCAAATAAAAATTATCTTTCCCCCGAAGTTCCACGACAGCAATTTTTTAGGTGTTCACTTGCATAGTATAGCCATTGATATGCCGAATGGAATTTTTTGTTTAGTAGTGAAGGGGGCAAACAGAGATCAATCTCACAGTTACAGTAAAGAATACAATTATGAACAGGGAAAAACAAACTCCATTGGAAACACCAGCTGAGGTAGGATCAGGTGACTAGGAGGAATAGGCATCATTTGTCACATCCGCCGTTAGCCCTCGGTATAAATCAGCTTAACGGAGTAATCCGATGACAAATTGGTATAAAAATATTGGACTAATGTGGGAATATATATGTAAGAGTTCAAAGTCCGATGGTCTCGCCAAACCCCGATGGTCTGTGCCAAACTCCGATGATTTGATGTCGGTACAGACGCCAAAGTCCGATGGTCACGCCGAAGTCCGATGGCTCGTTTCCTATGAAAAGCGTTGCGCTAAAGTGCGATGGTCTGATAAGCCAAGGTTCGATGGTGAGGAGAAACAATCAACGATTATGACGTCATAATTGTCCGACGTCAACCGCTGACGCCGTTGAACTGCATGCAAAAGCCATCAATTCAGTATTCGTCCTCGCATACAATTTGACTGATTTTGCTTATAGCTTGCACCCAACAGAGATTTTAGGATTAGTCCTCGCACACCACTCGACTGATTAGTGTTAGTCCTTGCGCACTTTTGGGCCGATTATGATATAGCTTTGCGCCAACCTGAGCCAACCTGAGCGATTTAGAGTTAGTCCTCGCAAACTGTTCGACTGATTAGGGTTAGTCTGGCACCCACCCAAGATATCTAGGATATAGTTTTTACACACTTTTCGATCGATTGGTGTTAGTCTCGCACGTATCCGGGAAACTAAGGTTAGTCCTCTCATATGATTTTAATTTGTATTTATTTCTAAGATCTTCGCATGGCGCGGCATTGCAATTTGGAGCGGTAGTACTATGACGCTCCAAACGTTAATTGTTTTCCGCACCATCAGACTTTGGCTTATCAAACCATCAGGGTTTGGCGCAGACCATCGGACTTTGGAGTCCCATCGCACTTAAAAGTCTTACAAATATATTTATTTACCAAATTATTCAAAATTTAAGACTACGAAAGGGGTCATAACAGTTTAGAATCATATTTCATGTCTGTCAGATGAGACGTTAAAAGGAGCACCACATCAAGGACCACAACTGCCTTGACACTGAAAAGGCCAATGCTCTTGTTTGCGAAAAAGAGTAAGCTTATTAAAAGTGCATAGACACAGATTTGAAGTTTATATTTTCTCAAATTTTCTGTATAATATCACAACTTATATGTTGCTATAGAATTTCACACGAAAATAAAATTAAAACTTATTTAATCTGGAAATTATTGAAGCTACGAATTTCGGGAGCCTTTTGATTAACACATTCTTGCACTTTCACAATTTTTAACTTTTTCCTAATACTTAAGAAAAGTAGCAATTTTGTTGTTTATTAATGAATAATATTACATCTATAATCCAGAAAATTCAGAGTAAATATGTGCGAAAGCAACACCCACTCACTTAAGTATTGTCAGCCCGTGCTCAGTGTTGTGTAGTTGTGTACAGAGTTTAACAAATTGAATATACCCATGAAACGTAAACTGTTTTTGTAAACAGGGCACGAGCTCTGTTGTTGTTAATGTTTACGTTTCACCGGGTGTGTTCAATTGTTAAACTCTGCACACACATTACTGAACACGGACTGACAATACTGGTGAGAGGATTTTGCTTTTTACATTTCTACTCTGAAATTTCTGCATTATGGTTTTAATATTTTTCATTAATAACCAACAAAATTGCTACTTTTCTAAAATCATAAAGATAAAGTTAAAATTTGTGAAAGTGCAAGGACG